ATATATAATATATATATATATATATACTTGCAAGTATCTTCATTAAGGCCAATAAACGCGTTTGTGCTAAGAACTGTCCCTGCCAATAAGTGTGTATGCTCATATGTTATAAAATTACAAACGCATAATTAACTTCATTGGCCTCATCTGGGGCAGATTATACGCAACCGAACAAACAAAGATGGTGTTTCTTCCGTACCAATAAATGTTCTACGGCCACTCGAGGTGTGGGCAAGTTCTTCGCGCGCCACTGAATGTGCCGCTTCATGTCAGCTATACAACGGACAGCATCCCAGTCATTTCTGAGTAAATAAGACGTTTGCCCACACGAGAACAATGATACACGAATATCCTACTTGAAAAGACCTACTTGGAAAGTACGTTTCTGCAACTATGTTCTTCTTGGGGAATAGAAGTGCCAGAAAACTGCTTGCTGCAGAGTCCTTACCCTTGGAGGAAGCGCAGCGTGTATCTTTCATCTGCAAATACGGGAGATTCCCGCAATTCCTCGTCGTCCTCCACTTTCTGTCGCACCTCGAATAGGCCTTCAACCTCATGAGGTAGCAAATCCAAGTCACCAAATATTAGACGTACTGGACGGCCTAGAGGGTTGGGCTGCAAGAAGGCCAAACCGCATCACAGTTTGACTCCCATACACTTCAGCCTTTGGGAGCACCATGAGTCTCTTATAAATTGCACTCGCATTCACTTCCTCGCTACGTCCAAAACGTGAGTTGTAACGTGAGTTGAGTTCTCACAAAAACACAGCACGGCGAATCCCACAAGAAGGGAACAGCAGGGTGGCTTGCCTTCAGTATTTCTGATTGCTGCGGCTTGTACTCCAGGGCTTCGCTCGGGATCAGCGTTGCATCTTGCACCGTTGCATCTAGGCTCAACTGTTGGGAAACTACATCTTGAAAGCAGTCGGTGGAATTGTCGCTTCCAGCAGAGATTGGTGAAGGAGATGCCGATGACGCCATTTCAACAGTATCTCAGCAGCTCACAGTTTGTGGCACCTCCGCAAGTATGCTCTACAACGTGATGCAAAAAATACAGTTAAGCAACGAACTCACGTAGTGCTTGGGAAAGCCTGAGGTGAAGGGTGCCAGCAGCGGTGACTCTAAGCCGGTGCTGTACAGGTAAAATGCCGTACTTCCCAAGGCCCAGTGTTGGGAGCAAAATGCATGCATCCCCGAAATCCGTACAGTGAGACGACAGGCTTATGCAAGTCCCTTTCTGCTGCTCGGTGGTGAAGGAGCAGAACAAGACAATTCGTCTCTACTTGGAAACCCGGCAGCTCCCTCACACCACGAGCGGGAACCACTGTCGACGAACCCCTAAATAAAGGGGCGGCAGACACAAAATGCAACTGCCTAGCTGCATTCGACCCAGACTTTCAGAAGTCTACACGGTTTTGTGGAAGTCGCTGTTATCCATGTACTTGGCCTTAATGGAGCGGTTACTCGCAAGTGGTAGTCGGGGGGAAGACGACGAGTGTGAAGGCCCGGTTCGGCTATTCACGACATCAATATCACATACAACATATATTTTTGTGATCTTACTAAGCAATTACATTATTTTCCCGTGTGTTTCATTTCGCCATATCGCCCGCACTGCATGCACCGGATGTCTGCAACTGTTGGGTTACGCTCGCAATACACCGGCGCTACGGTTTTGCCTGCTACCGTCGCATCACAAAAACAAAAAAAATATAGCCTACACCAATTATCATAAACATTAGGAGCAAGCGGTGGGTAGGTCGTTTGTCTCACGTACTTGCCAACGCATCCTCCTACCTCCTTACAAGAAAGAAATTGGGTCTTGCACGAGGATCATTGTGAGCTGCAGTGAAGTCAAAATTTTTGAGAGTTTATTAGGTTCAGCTATCCTGCTTCCCCAGTCTCTGGGTGGCCTTGGCGCCACGGCTGAAGCACCTGGAACTGCGTGATGGAAGGTGGCGTTCCAAGAGTTGCAACGCATCTTGCCTCAACACAAGTTTCGGGAAGGCCCCACCTACAAACGCAAGCCTTCTTTCATGCATTTACATACAGTGTTGACAGTTTCTGAGGACTTTAGTGTGGGTACCTCTTGTTTACTAGGGTCGGGTTCACGTGCCAACATCACGTAGGTTGGCCAACAGCAGACATAAGATGCTGCATCTGTACCGCCCTACCATCCATTTGGCACAAGCAGCACATCTACTTCTGTACCAGTATCGGGCATGAAGACGGCTACATTGGCCTGTTGTTCCCACCCTTTATTGCGTACCTGAGGGCACCTTCGGCTGCTGCGGCTGAACCACTTCTTCTGCGTTTGAACACCGCCTCAAGCACCCATTCATGCGTGTCGAGGCTGCTGGAACCTTCTGTCGCAGCAGCTGCCCAGAAGGCTCCTTCCGTTCTCCATATCCTTCCGGATATGGAGAACATTGCAAATTCTGCTGGACAATGGTTGTGTTGTTGAGAGTAGAATTTGCAATTTGCTTGCTGGGTTTGTCTCGTGCTGCAATCATCCAAAGAGGTGCCGAAATCGAGAGGAGGGTTCGTGCACGCTTGCCATATTTGGAGAAGGGAAACTATATCCCAGCAAAGGAATAGTTAGCACATCTGAGCACATAGAATGCAATGTATGCCGACCTCCTGGGTTATGAAGCAGCAGCGAGTACGCAATAATCAGGCGAGGCCCAGCCTAATAATGCACAGCATGCATTGATGACGGCAGTAGCTACCGACAAAGCACTAATGAGCTGTAGATCGTAGAGGAATAGCTTCACGAAAACGGCTCTCAAAACTCACTCAACTTGCCCTATTCTTTGATATTCAACGTACTATTATCGCTTTCATCAGTCTCTACAAAATGTTTCACGAACCTTCAGGGTTGTCAATCCATCGTTGTGACTGGTCATCTCGACGTTGCTGCCTCTTTGTGGTTAAATTTCTGGGGTATTGCTGTGTTCTCTGGGTGCGAGCTCGCGAGCTGCTAGCCCCTGAATACCCCAGCCTCCGTCGGCGTCTTTCTCTCATCCCTCTTTGATTGGAGCTCCCTACATCCATAGGCTCTCCATATGGATGGGTTCTCAATCGGCCCTACTTCCTTAACTGCTGAGGCGATGGGTGCGTCGACTTTCTACTCCCTGAAGCGTATGTATTCCATCACCTCTGAGATGTTAACTACTTTAGGCATGGCTCCCTCTGCGAACCCCAGCCGGTTACATATTGCCCCTCTCCAAGGATACAGCCCTGCAATAAACCATTGATTCAGACGTTCGAATCCGGCTTTGCATTTTTATTCATCGATGACGGATACGTATCTATGCAACGTTCTATAGATGCCTTCCAATGCTAAAGCGTTTCAGCCACATGATAGGGTTTTGACTTTTGGGACACGGGGAATAGCCTCCATCCCAAGAATTGCGCCTTAGTCACCAGTAAGCCAATACAAAAGAAAAAAACATGGAACTCCAAGATCCACTGCCAATTGCACAGCTTTGCCTTCAGCAGTACTCAGACCAGCAGAAGTCCACAGATTCTCACTTGCCGTCTCCTCCTGCTGGGCTTTGCAAAAGCCAGAAACAACGTTTTCTGCTATTTTGGAAGCGCTCGTAATTCGTGGCACGGACATTTCTAACCCATTCAGATTGAATGCGTGAGGCGCAGTAGGTTCTTGACTGATTCGTGGTGCATGGCGAAACACTCTTTGTTCAAGCAGAAACATAGCAAGATCAAATGTAGTTCAGGAAGTGACCGGATACACTGTGCCCACATAAACACTCGTCCAATGCCCCAGGCTACATACTAGGCACCTGGTCATTTAAAACAACATAAAGTGAGAATAGTCTACAAACAAGAATGGAACGTGAGCAGTAAAGCCTACCAAGGGAAAAATCAACCATGCTAGACTCTGCAAACTGCAGCAAGCAAACTGAAGGATGCTTGTAGCTGGCACCCATATTCACAAACTTTTAAACGCCCCACAGCTTGAATGGGGTGGCGCTGATTGTGTATTGAATAGCATTAGAAGCTGTTCATCTAAATCAGAGCTGGCCCGCAAGTGTACGCTTTGGTGTTGA